AATTGAGTGTGAGTCTACATTGAGTTCTCATCTATTGTAGAGAACAAATCATTTATTATATTATGAGATTGTAAAGTTTTTGGTTAGCTAGAAAACCGAGAGTGTAGTGGAGATCTCCTCGAGGTGAGGAGCGGAGACGTAGGTCGTGGGGACCGAACTTCGTGAATAAAATTGTGAGGTGTAAACGTTATTCGGGTGAGCGTAGAAAACCCGGTTGTGATAGTGGATTTCTCTCTAGGAGTGGGGAGCGGAGACGTGGGATGAAAGGTCCGAACTCCGTGATCATATCATTTGTTTGTGATTGCATTGGCGCATCTTTCTTATACTCATATCTTATATCACCTTTGTATATTACTTGTTGTTTATATTACCCACTATCTAGTTTAGATTGTTTACCTTTGTGTTCATTATATATCCTTGCATATATTGCATCATATAGGATATATCTCTTTGTTCATATTGCATATTCTTGCTCATAATGTATTGTATATCTATCTTACAAGAATAATTTATTAATAAGTTTTAATTGGCATAAAATCGGATTAGATTAGCATAAGACCCTAATCACCCCCTCCCTCTAGGGTCTAATAATTTTGACAATAATCAAACTTGTTGCTCGGAACCACCTTAGTGAGCATATCCGTCAGATTATCCTTCGTGTGGACTTTCACAATCTCCACATTGCCATCTTCAAGAATATCCCGAATGAAGTGATAACGAACATCAATGTGCTTCGTCCTTGCATGAAAAACCTGATTCTTCGCCAAATAGATAGCACTCATGCTATCACAATGAATAGTTATGGACCGCTGCGATGTACCAAGTTCCTCCAAAAAGTCCTCGAAGCTAAATAACCTCCTTCACAACCTTCGTAATCACCATATACTCTGCCTCCATCGTAGATAAAGTCACCGTAGACTGTAAGGTGCATCTGCAGCATATCGAAATACGGGTCAAAGTGAACACATACCCCGTCGTTGACCGGTACTTATCCAAATCCCCGACAAAATCCGAATCAACATAGCCAATGAATAACTTCCCATCTGTAGTGTCACGCTCATAAACTAAACCAACATTGAGCGTACCTCGAATGTACCTCAAAATCCACCTCACGGCGTCCCAATGACCCACTCCTGGATCATGCATGTATCTCGATACCATGCTCACTGCCTGTGATAAATCTGGTCTTGTACATATCATCGCGTATATCAAGCTCCTAATCACACTCACATATGGAGCATTCGACATCAATTCTCAATTTTAACTGTCTTCGATGAAAGATCAGTTGAAAGTTTTAAATGGGCTCCCAATGGTACACTAACTAGCTTCGTATCCATGCTAACATGAAATCACTGTAGAACTTTCTTTAAATAAGCCACCTGTGTCAAACAAATTATGCCCTTCTTCTTGTCTTTGTCGATCTCCATCCCTAAAATGTGCTTCGACTCACCCAAATCCTTCATCTCAAACTCCTTTGAAAGTTGTGCATTCAACTCATCTATAGCAAATCTGGAAAAAGAGGCAACCAACATGTCATCGACATAAAGTAATAAATGATGTACGTACCTCCTTTTAACTTACAAAAATATACGCAAGGATCAAACTGGCTCCGAGTGTACGAATGACTAATCATAAAACCATCGAATCACCTATACCACTGTCGAGGAGACTGCTTCAAACCGTATAACGATTTTTTCAATCTGCAAACCAATTTTTCCTTTCATGCAGCTCGGAATCCCAATGGTTGAGTCATATATATTTCTTCATCAAGATCACCATGAAGAAATGTCGTCTTTACATCTAACTGATCTAACTCCAAACCATATTGTGTCACCAAAGCTAGCAAAATCCAGATCGAAGAGTACTTCACCACCAGAGAGAAAACCTCATTATAATCTATTCCTTCCTCCAGTGCATAGCCCTTCGCAACCAACCTAGCCTTGAACCTCAATGGAGTGCCTTCCATGCCCTCATTCTTCGTGTATACCCACTTGCAACCAATTGCCTTCCGTACTTTGGAAGCTCAACAAGCTCCCATGTATCATTCTTGTGAAGAGACTTCATCTCCTCCTGCATAGCTACCTGCCATGAATCAACCTGTGAATTCTGCTCGGCCTCTCTGAATGTAGTAGGCACCATCTCATCGATACTCTCCACAGAAAGTGTATACGCAACTGTATCGACATACCGTGTTAGCATCCGTATATCTCTCCTGTCTCCGAACCGTAATAGAATCCTGAACCTAAGCCGTCGATCACTGATTCTGCATAATTGTACTCGTATCCTCCTCCTCCTCATCATGCTCGCCTGGCGTCACCTCACTCGGCACTCTAATGGATACTGTACCATCTGGATAATGTGGAGCATCATCGATCTCCACCACATGCGATATCTCCTCTGTCGGGTTGTTCTCCACCTGATGAGAGCTGAGAAGCTTTAAGATAGAAGCCTCATCGAATGTGACATCCCTACTCAGCATAATCTTCTTATCAACTGAATCTCATAACTTGTATCCTTTGACACAACGCTTGAATCCTACAAATATGGCATTCCTAGCTCGAGGTTCTAATTTATATGTTCTCACATGATAAAATGCAAGGCACCTGAATACATTGAGCTGGTCATAGTCGTGTGCTGGCTCTCCCGACCACATCTCCATAGGGGTTTTCCCCTTAATCGCAGATGAAGGCAGCCTATTAATGAGGTGACTCATATATGTAAGTGCATCAGTCCAAAAGATCTTCTCCAGACCACTTTGCGATAATAAACATCGGACCTTCTCCAGCAAAGATCGATTTAACCTCTCTTCCACCCCCCATTCTGCTACGGTGTATGACTAACCGTGAAGTGTCTCTCTATGCCCTCATCTCGACATAGCTGTTGAAAGGGGTCTGAAGTATATTCACCACCATTGTCGGATCGCAACATCTTGATCTTTCTCTCAGTTTGCAGTTTTAATCTCTTCTTCTACTCCACGAATATATCTAGGACTTCACTCTTCTTCATCATGGTGTACACCCAACATCGTCTAGAATAGTCATCAACGAACGTGATGAACCAATGTCGACCACTAAGTGATGCAGTTTTAATCTCTTCTTTCTCTCACAAATATCTCCACCAATGGATGCTCAAAACCCTAACAAAAGCCGCTGCGATTTTTCTCTTCTTTAGCCGAAAAACACCTTCGGTTTTCCCTTTTGTTCTTATGCCGCCAAAAGAGAACACAACCGACTTTTTTTTCCTGCTCGCTTGCACAAAGCCCTAAGAAAAACGAAGAGGTATTTATAAACCTCTCTTCGGGTGGGCCATCACCACGCGGAAACGAAAAAACGCGTGAAGTTCATGAAGGTGGCCCCCACTTCTTTGACCCCCATGCACTTTGGTGCTCCTCTTCGTGAACATGATGGCCTCCACGTTCACATGCTAGTGCTCCTGGGTTTCGATCAGGAGCTGCTCCTATCTTTGCCACTGTCCCTGCTCTCGCCCCCTATTCTCTAAAACTCTGATGTATGCTATCCCTGCCTCTGGTTCCTTTGGTTTTGCCCTTGCTACTCCCACCACTGGCGGTATTGCTTCCAGCTTTCGAGATGATTTTTTTTTGTTTGGTAGAAGGGATGGAAGGGGGATGTGAAATAATATACGTTAGTAAAAGTACAATAATACTCTTTCGAGAGAAACATATGATTTTGATAAGGTAGCTAATTGGGCGATTATGAAAAACTGATTAGAGTATAAAAGTTATTATAAAATAAATCCAACCTCTCCTCGTGTATCCCTCTAAATAGATGTTTCTCTCTCTATATATATTTTCTATTCGTTTTGCACTTTCTCTCACTGTACCCCACTTTACCTCAGTTCACCATCCTCTCTAGAAATATCCTATTAAGGTGATTTTTTATTTCGTCCCTCATCTTACCCCACCTCCCCTCCTACCAATCCACGCTGAGTGTTACTAAGACTCAATCAAGTTCGGTTGGGGCCCGTTTGGTTAGAAATTTTTTCTCTTGAAAGCCTACCAAAGTGTCACTTTTTGACAGGCTTTCAAGCAAAATCACCTCTAAAAGAGGCAATTTTACTTGAAAGCCTGTCAAAAAGTAACACTTTTGGCAGGCTTTCAAGCAAATTCACCTCTAAAAGAGGCGATTTTACTTGAAAGCCTGCCAAAAAGTGACACTTTTGACATTTTTGACAGGTTTTCAAAAGAGTTTTTCCCTCAAAAACAGGGAACCAAACAACCCCTTGGTATCTCTCGTGGACATGAAACTGCATGCATCAGGACCCATCAACACAGTACTCAAATTGAATTCGGTCGAACATGATCGAAAGATACTCAACTGAACTTAGTTGAGTTTCTTTGAGAAAGGGAGAAACCCAACCGCCTGTGACCAAAATGCTTTCCCCTCTTTCTACTCTGACCTGAAATCCCAAGGAAGTGTTAGCCTTTTTCACACGACGACGTTGGAGAAGAAAGAGTGAAATTCATTTTTGTCGTAAAACGATCAAAAATTCCATATAACACCCTATAGGATTTAGGGACTAACATGAAATTATTGAAGATGTGGGGGACTAATATGTTTCCTGTTCAAAGTCCCACAACCCATCAACCTAATAGAGCATTCACATTAATCCAATGTTTCCCTCGCGTCTGACTTC